GGGTCATTGCTGAGCGATAGTTCAAATCTACAACTCTTCTACATATTTTAAAACGTGGTGTGATTATGCAAATCTATGTCCACCTTTCCGCTAGTTAAATTTTATAGCCCACGGCTAATGAATAAGCTATAAAGCATGGACGCTCGGATTAGGATTTTAATGTTTCGGTCTCTCGGGAATACCTTTTCGTCACCTATGTATCCAAATGTATATTTTTAAACCAGTTGAAGAAAATGTTAATCATTATAAAAATGAATGACACAGTTAAAAATCTTTAATTTTATGCATATCAATATACGAGTTTTCAAATCTTGGACGTGGAAGTGATTTTATAGCAAACAATGCAGGGTTTAATTTTTGTTTTTATGCTCTATTTATATTTTTATCTCCTACAAGAAAGTATTAAGGTTATATTCAGATAACACTGATCTATATTCTATTTAAAAATACCAATTCTCCTGGATTGGTTTAAAGACATCACATTATAAGGATGAAGACCATACATAATCATATACATCACGTAGGGAGGCCTTTTTCAAGTCAACACGACCAATCCTTTATATAGACCCTATTTTATTAAATTATAGATTCATAAACACGTGCGAATATATTATTTATTCGCTTGACTTTCATTTCACAACGTAAAATATAATGTAAAATTAAAGAGGCGTTATACAGGCCTTTTTTGTGGCTTCAAATGTTATACGAACTGTTGTTTAGATATTCATTCACATGAATGGGAAAAAGACACAGTGGTTAGTGAGCTAGATTCGTGACACACAAAATTAATCTTCTATTCCAGTCTACTCACCTGTAATTGGTACCGGCCAAGTGTAAGTTAAATTACTGCATCACAGACTATTACTTCTATGGGGTGATAAGCACACGCGTATTGTAAGACGGTGGTATTGTAATGCCACAGAAAGACACATGTATTGTTAAATGTTTCAGCATTCTTAAGCCTGAGATATCTCCTAAACGCCATCATAAATCCAATTATCGCTGATTGTGGGGTACGACATCTTTTCTGAATTTCAGATCATTGATGGTTAAGCATTTATATCAAATATTTGGTAACCAGGAACAAAACCACCTCTTCCATGTTATAAATGTTGGACACATTTCTATTGAATTCATCTACTGTATGATGTAAACTAAATGGTACCGCATGTCAATGATTCAATAGTAGGGTGTTCGGTTAGTTTGCATCGACATGCAGTTATTTTTTGTGCCAAAAATGTGTAACCTCCAGGTTTGTTTTATCAAAAACTTTCTGAAAGCCAAGGTATAACATATTCTGATGGGGTTCAAGTTAAGTCATATTTTTATGTTGTCCTTGGAGGTGTTGGGTGTCACCCAAATGTGATAATAGCGGCAGTGCAGTGGTGCACACGCCCCTTTTTGTCTACCAAATGAATTACTGTGCCCATCACCCTTTCCCATTGAAGAGATCAACATCTCTCTAAGAACGCAGCCCTCATTTCAAATCATGCACTTTATATTTCTATACTGGTTAGAAGGAGATCATTATCATTGCATTTGACTAATTTACAATTTATACTGAATCCCCTACAATGTCTCTCTTTTATCAATATTTCTTTTTTGATTAGTAGTAGCCGATCATTCTCATTGCATTTAACTAATTTACAATTTATACTGAATTCCCCATAATATTTCTACTCTGGTTAGTAGGCGATCATTATCATTGCATCTGACTAAGTTAAAATTTATACTGAATTCCCCACGATGTTTCTCTTCAATCAACACATCAATGATGTTTACAAAAGTAAGCGTATATACTTATACACATTTGTTTGTTCTTTAAAGCTATGTATATATCGTATACTTCATTGAAACCATGGCATTACTGGTTCCCATCAAATCGTACTCCACCCCCGCCAGTTTGCATAACAATATACGCTGCTGGTATGATTGTGAACCATTTGAAATCCATGATAGATTTTTGAACTAACAATATTTTCATATGATTAAAATCATTTGACTCAAGTTTAATAATACTCGTCGGGAACAATCTCCACATACCAGACATACCTATTCCTACTACTTGTGACTATTTAAAGGTTGTTTTAAATGGACGTGGAACTTACCTTCTCGTTATATAAAACGTCTGAAATCCAAGAATCATTTACTGTTCTAATACGAGGATATGTATCCTCGGGATATTTTGACAAGGTACGCTTGATATTTGTTGTATACCCCCTAGTGTGACTTCCAATTTACAGTATATTCAACGAATTAAAGAGGAATTATCGACTTTTGTGATTTTGATTTCAGACACTACAGTAAAATGGAAATAATAATATGTATAGCTCCTTGCCATGTAAATTAGGTTTCAAAACACAGCATTTTTAATTGTCGGTAAAAGAACTAATTTGTGTAAACTAATTCCCCAGAGAGAGAGAGAGACAGAGAGAGAGACAGAGAGAGGGAGATAGAAATGGGGTTTAACCTGCATTCGAGACTAACTTGACACTTGACACAAACTAGGTCATTTTGGGACTAACATATGGTTCAATTTTATTTTAATAATTCGCTTGCGCGAAGGGGTCTTTAGCAGTGGGAGGAAATCGGAGGACCCAGAATAAACCCACGAGGTTGGACAGGCGACCCTACTCCTTGTCACGTACAACCGAGGAATCAAAACCACGCCAGTTGACTCAATGATAGGCCTTATGATACAACGCGCACGTGCTTACTATTCGAATTCCAATTGTCAAGGGTTCAGTTACGTTTTTCCTTGCCATACAATAAACTTTGTCGACCAGAACCCCACATACTAACTGAGCCACCGCGGCTCCCACCAGCCTGTCTCTTCAGACGTAATATCTAGCAATATCCCTATAACAAGAAAGTTCGCAAGACGTTTCTTGTGATTCGATTCACTTTAACTTTGTGTTGGGATTTGTATTGTACGTGACGTTCGGTGTTTTGTTAATACAGCGTTCCTGCACTGTCGAAAAGCTAACAATTTTTGTTGTATTTTTATAATTATCCTTATGTACACCTCCCACTGTCGTAACTTTCATCCCGGCATCTCATTAACCATTTAACTAACGATTAACCAGCGACCGCAAACACAGTTTTTGTACGAATCTGGTTGACGGTGTATTTTACGGAGGTTTGCTTTAAGTCAAATACTACCAGACGAAAACTAAACACACGAAGGACAAGAATATTTTACTTTGATAAACACGTGTACTGGACAACATAAAGGGGTTGTTGAGTCGAGACTCACAGACTAGATATAAATACTTTAACTAACGTAGCCGATTACATAATCAACTAGAAAATGCTAGTAAAAGTCTCTTTGCAAATGAAAAGGGCGGCTCACTAGTCCATGGGTTATGGTTAAGGTTATTGTGGTGGACTGGTTCAACCGTTTGTTGGTCGTTGATCTTGACAATACGCCACTTCATCAACATTTCAATTATACATAATTTTGTCAATTATTTTTTTATTTAAAATCCTTTAAATTTTGTGCATGATATGTACAATATGCATATCCTTGTGTTGCAATACTTTGGGCGCTATGACAAAAGCAAAACGCTCTTGACGGTTTTTGTCGGTGATTAATAGTAACGCGGCGGATTAATGAACCTGTGGACTAGTGAACCCCTACCCAAAAGAAATTGAAAACCTTTCGAAACTTTTGTAATTCTTTTAAAAAAGAATAGCATGTGTACGGTACGTTAAAGCCATGGTGAATAAGCGTGAAACTACCGAGGCTGGCTAAATAAACTATCCAATTGTTATCAAATAACAATACTGATCTGAGTAAATAAGAGCCCTTCTAGTCCGTGACCAGGAAACTCTCCACGGGCACCCTACTCTTGGTTTTGACTTCGCGCTATTTCATACTATTTGCTGAACTCTGAAGCGAGTATTTTAGTTCGGCATTTCGTTTCCTAAAACACAAGTAAATCCATTGTTTGATCGGTGCGTCATCAAGAATCAAGTTACCCCAGAATCATGCAATGGCAATTAGACCTTCATGGTATTGGTTTTTACTCTTGATCTCGAAATCTCTCTTTAGGTTTTTGATTGACAGCCGGCCATAAATCCAATCTATGTTTGTATAATATATACATAGATATTACATTATTATTCAATAGCCATACTTGTGTATTAACTGACAGACTCTTCAATCGTCGTGTTTGTATTGATTAGACAGGAATTTCTGCCATGCATCGTTAACCAATTTCCATAGAATTTACAGACTAACATATTCCTGCTTTAGTAAGCAACATTCCACAGTAAAATCGATAATGGCGAAAACTTTGAATCATAATCAAGATTGGAAGACACGGTTTTATATATATATATATTTATTTAAGATGAAGATCGTGACATACTTACTAATTACTTGATGGTTTTATAAGCAAAACTAATCATGAAATATAGAGATATGTACAGGACCAAATTTAACGTACATCATTGTGTCCCAGTGTGTAACAATTCTTGGGACCACGTCTTTTTTTGTCTATAGCTATTATCTTCAAACCCATTAAAAAAAAATATGAAATATTCATAAAAGCAATATGCCCTTTATTATGGATCAATAACTTGTCTCTATGCAACATAGTAAATCTACTAACTGAAACATATTTATAATAATGAATCTAATAAATGTGAATTTCTCTTGATTTTTCAGATACAAACTTACGAATAACGTCACTAAATTCTATATTTCGTAATAAATCCGCATTTAGAGATAGGGTACCAAAAATCGTACGGTCGAGTGCAGTTATACCGCTTGCACTGTCTTAATTAATATGGGCCTAGATAATATATATACATATAAACTTATATAGTTCATTATTACTCACATCAACCTATATATTGTCATAAATGTATAAACTCATCGCTCGATATTGTTTGAAATAATCATTTGAAATAAATGAATCATATATGACTGATTATTTAATATCTGTCACATTTTATGTGGGACAGCCACCAGTGCGGTACATTTTATCAACAATTTCGGTTACAATTTTCGCTGTATGTTTGATAAAAGTATAGCCACAACTGTACTCTTCTCGTCTTGGGCCCAGCATTTCAAGTGCAGGCATTTTGTCTTGAACATAACGCTGGAGATTATATTGGGGGGTTTTAAGCAGGCGGATAATTTTGCACACTATCGATCGACTCGATATTTTAACGGCTCTAAAGTTGAACTCTGCTAGAGAAGGCTTTCCGCTAGTTTGCTAACGTGTTTAGCGGCGCGGGATTGTTGAGCAGGTTCATACTGTTGTGAAGGAGTGTTTCGTTAACTCGTGTCTGCCCAAGACGGCAGTTTTACAACTATAAAAAGCAGTGATTCCTGCATTGTGCTCGTCTAATTTACCCCCTCAATGACATAATTTGGAGTATCGACTTTTATCTGTTTAAAGGCGTATGAGATAATATTGTAAACTCTGGAATATTGAATAATGGCAGAAGAAGGAAATAACAAAATCGAAGAGGATGTAAAAAGTGATGCTAAAGATGGAAAAGATACTAAAGAAAATGAGGTAAGGATTTCCTAAAGGAGGCCAAATATTATTGATCAATATCTTGGAGAATGTTATTGTTCCTTACAAAGCCCACGGGAATTATTACAGTTCAATCGGACTGTGGGTCAAGATATCTTGTGAGTTTATTTTGTTCTGAAAATTGTTCGCATTGTGATCATACCAGGACTAGACAAGCTAGTGTGGGGCGTGTAATGTATACATTATAAATTTACAATCATCAATATTAAAAAACATATCTTTTTACTTACAAAGTACAGTAACTAAATTTCTTCTAGATTTATAAAAAAGATAGTACACACCCCATTAATTAATGTATTAAATTTTTAATGCCAGTGGCGTTGATAATTGGTAAAATATCTAACCTTCAACACCCAGTCGTTTAGAAATGTTAAAGTAACAGAGCAAGTACAGAATCATTATATCGGAATTGATAGATTGCATGCATTTGGCGCTGGGCCCTTGGAAATGTGGGGCCCATACGTATGAGCTTCTGTTTGTTACTATAGGTTAATTCGGCCCTAGTTTTAATACCAATACTCCTGCAACAAAACTTTCTTTGGGTTTCTCATAACATCGACGTTTACATTTTCTTTCTAAGTGGCATTGATAGTATGTTATTCAAAATGTTCCTAATGTCATGGTATGACGCTCCATGCCATCTGGTTTTCTTTATTTCTACATGTTTATTTTTTCTATTCCAAGAATATAAAATGGAACATTAAGAGCATATAATATTTTCTTTCAAAAATGTCAAACAAATTAAGCTAACTGTCGTTTGTTTATGATTTTTGATAATAATGGTGCGAGTGAGCTAGGGTATGTTTTGTGTGTTTTTTCAAGGATTTAGTCGATAATGATGGTCAATACCAGATGTGTCTTAATGGTTTCGTGGCCTGTTTTAGTTTATGCTTAAAATGTCAGTCTGGCTTTAATAAAACTGTTATATTAAAAAGAAGGGGGAGGAAAACCATGGACAAATACCATGTTCGTATATTCACCAGTTTTTACCATGTGTTTGAAATCTGAACCAGAATATAACCCCGCATGCGTTAATGGGTATATCTCATTGCCTTTTAATTAAATGCACAACAAGCCAGTCACATGTTTCTCAAAAGTCCAAAAAATATGTATTATATTAATGTAGTGAAGAAATATATTAGATTATGTAATTTTAAATCACATCTGAATGTGCTTTAAAATTGCATAAACCATACTCTTCAAGAAGAGTGGTCTAGCTTTGTACAAAAAAAGATATGATTATTTACTACCACACAACCCCAATTGGTGGAAGCGGGAAATCAATAGAAACTAATATAAGGATACTTTCTCGACCTGTATTGTTTTTAATGAAAATATTTTTTATTGCGTATCGTCAAAAACTTTCTATATTGTTTTATTTGTGGTGTGGAAGGCCTTTAATGGCGGGTGTCGTCTGTGGCTCAAGAAGGGAACTTAATCGTTAAACAAAACATGATGACATATTGAGTATGGCACTGGTCTATACTAAACAGGATGTTCCGGGTTCAATCCCGGTGGTGGCCGAGAAAGTGCCTTGGGATTTTCCATTCTGGTTTTCCCTTGTTGGTGGACGAATGGGTGGAACTCATTGGCGCGAACCTTTTACGGTTGGAACTCGATGAACAAAATGCGCAACCGCCGCTGTCCGTGCATATGATTTTATCCCGGTTGGACGATAGGCCCCATTTCATTTCTAGTTTTATCATAGTGAGACTAAGATCAGAATTTTGTATCACTGGCTCCAGAATCAGAATATTGTTGTCGTTACTATAATAGTATTTATTTTAGCATCAATATTAACAATAAAAGCAAACATTTTTTTTCTGTCAGTTTATGGCCTGGGCCCTGTTTCACGAAATTTTAACTTCAATTTTGATTGGCTAAGCACTAAAATCAATTTAATATTATCCAATCAAATTACTAAAATTTGGATTTTATCTTAGTTAAAATTTCGTGAAACAGGGCCCAGACCAATTATGTAGGATAGTCTACATGAGACGAGATGAAGCTTCTGACATATAAGTGTGGTTAACGGCGTAAAGCAAAGGCGTCTGGTAAGAAAGAGTGTTTATTCGGATGGAACCAAAAACAAGTCTGTGGTTGCCGTGCTTGAAAACCAAATCTTGACAGAATTCTAAAAAAGAATAGGTCAAAACGGAAGCGTTGCTATCCAGAAAAAATTTTCCTCATAACATACTGTATTGTCTTCATTAGACCGGTTGGGACAGAAACGTTAGAGTCTCGTTTCATTTCAGTTGAAACCGATTATAGAAGCAGCAATGCAAATGACACAATAAAGGGCGTTGTCAAATACCACAGCTGTGTACAAGAATTAAAGTTAGCGTGAAAAGTTGCATTAGATTGAAATCGACGTACAGAATACATTTCAAAACTACATAACAACAGTCTGGTCGACGTCAATATTCAACAGTTACATGAGAATTGTATGACATATTAGTAATGTACAATGGTATGTTGTCTGTAATGTGTACAGTTTCAGAAACTACGTGAGAATCATATAGACACGTGAAAATAAACCCCCAATGGAATAGACTAAACAAATAAACATGTTTTAAACAAAAAGAAAAAGATTTCATTGTTTTGTGAAATGTCATTATGAACATGTGGTTAAAGTGACTAATAAGGAATTTCGTGAAGATCAAAATGTTTTCTTTTTGTTGACTTTGTGTAATTTCATAATTATTACTAAACCTTCATACGTAGGGTTGTATGCTAGATGCACTTCTTTGTATCTTAAGGCTTATATTTGTTTTAATTTTTCATATAATTTTTAAAACATTTTTGAAATATTTGTCAAGTGATATTTTTAGTGAATGATGTCTATTTTTCATTATAATTAACGCATCTTTAACGCCTTGAGTGTGCTTTCTATATATCATTTCACTATATTTAACTATCGAAGGACTGGATTAAAGGCCTCGTCTACACAATACCCCGATCACTTTGAAACTACCATGTGCATTTTTGTATAGTTAGGCCTACGTATATAATGGTGGAGAATAAAACTCCCTCTCCAGAGGTGCGCCAGTTCATGTACCGTACTACAAATTTGTACACGGAGTCTTTGTCTCATCAGAAAGTCTAGACACACGGAATGGAAAGCAACGGTCATTATATTCCAACTGCCAGGGGTTATTTTACGTGCACACGGGTGAACGACTAGGTAACACTTTACTTGTGGGTCCCACAGCCGGTACCGATGACGATGACAAGTGGGAACCTGCCTTGCAAATCCTGGGATTCTTCTCGGTCTACACCGGGATTCGAACCTGATACATTAAAGTCGAGAGCCTAGTGCCGTTACCGCTCGATTGGAGCCACGGTGGCTAAGTGAGTAAGGCCGTGACTCGCTAGTCCGGAGGTCGCGGGTTCGCTCCCGTTGTTGGCCGAGAAAGTTCATAGTGATTTTCCGGCGTGATTTCCCCTTGTCATTGGTGCAGGAAGGAGGGCCTGACAAGCTGTCTAGTCTTTCAAATGGTACAAAAAACCGGTCCTGTATACACATTGGGGTGCACGTAAAAGAGCACTTGGTAGTTGGATTTCTATATAACAGTAGGGGGTAGAGCCACTGTCCGGGCGAAATTTCCCTCATAATAGAGTATGTCCGCCTTCATTAGCTCAGTCGGAGCAGAACAGTAGGACGTTAAACCCCGTTTCATTTACCACTCGACTGCCACACACCCACTAACAACCGGGAATCGGATTGAAAACTTTCATAAGCATTCGAATCTACACCTGCACTTTAGTCTATATATTTGCAATGAATCAGATACTAGTACCAGTATACATGTAGAACAGTTATTTAGACATACTACATCATACCTGTCACACAGTGTGAATGTAGTCACATAGAGATTTGTCATCATTAATTAAACCCCAGTGATACATCATCTAGTACAGTTTGACGGAGTAGCAAATTTTTAATGGGAGGGGGCCAGTGGGCCTACACCAGTACAAAATATAAAATATCATGTACTCTAGATAGTGTAATAAATGGGAAGTTGTGCACGAACGCATCAACGCGAAGGCCGAAGCCATCATTTAATGAATGTTTATGCGGAACACTCTAAATATGATAAACTGCGTGTAGTAAATAAACCGAACTATACCGATCGTGTATCACTTTACTGATATTACCATGAAAAAATACATACCAGAAAACAGTTTTATCTGATTACCTGCAGTTATCAAAGCATCGCTACATTTAAATAAGCTCTTTCAACTAACACATCTGTCACCCCATTAAACATGCACTTAATACAGCAGTTTTCTATAAATCTTCTCAACTCTAATCAACTGTCAACTTAAAACTGTTTAAAGATGTTACATTTCTCAAAACCTCGTTGCCATATAAAAAAAATGGCTTCCATAACCCGGCTTATAGTTTTGAAGTTCGTTATGTTGGTGTTGACCTGTGAAACGAAATTGGGAATTGGATGACCCTGAAGGGTTGGATTTGGAAACGATTCTTCTATAATTTGGTTAACGCTGAAACGGGTTAGATTGACAGATTTTCCGAAATACATGTACATGTAATTGTGTAGGCCCCAGGAGTTTTCAGTGTGAGGCGGAGAAGGAGGTTCGCATGGGGTTTCCCAAAGAGGATTTGTACAATACTTGGCAAAATACTCGAGTTTTAGTATTTCCTAGATAACAGACCCAATTATCACAAATACATGTAATTACATCTTGTTATAGATCACAAAGGAGGAAAATTGCTCATGGAGCATTAATATGACTAGCTTCGAATGAAAATCCGTTGCCTTACCCCACCGCCTTTGGTGCCGTCGCTGATTTAATTCAATGTTGTGGATTAAGATGTCCTACCGTTAATATTATTAGCCGTTTATCTTTTGAAGTGGAGCAGCCACTAGACGAAAATATTGATCTGTGAGATTGATTTGACAAAAATCGATGTTGATGGATGTCTTCTCATGACAGAAGGCACTTACTTTTGT